CTGGAATTCAATGGTCAGCCAACCAGCCAGTCTGACCAAATTGGCAAGCTCCAAGTTCAGTGAAAGACTGTTTCAAAGAATAAGGTGAAGTGTAAAGAGGGAGACATCTGATGTCAACCCCTGGCTCACACGTGCGTACACACATATACACACAATGTTGAGAAAATGCCAATTCAACACAACCTGAAGTAGAATCAAGTTGTATACAAATATGTGTTAAGCAAAAAAGGGCTTGGCAAAAAAAGTTTACAGAACCTGGAAAAATGTAAGTTATTTAAAGCCCATTGTTAGTCATTGTATTGTTCATCAGAAGGTACTCTGTAAGGGCTAGAGAGAGAGCTCAGTGAAGTACCTGCCATACAAACATGGGGACCTGAGTTCGTATCCCCAGGACCCATGTAGAAGCCAGGAGTGGCAGAGTACATCTATAGCTCAGTGCTAGTGGGGGCAGTCAGGGAGCAGAGACAAGAGTATCCCTGGAGCTCACCAGATCAGACAGTCTGGCTGAATTGGCGAGCTTTGGGTTCAGTGAAAGACGTCTCAGAAGGTAAATTCGAGATCAATGGAGGAAGACACTCAAAATTGACCTCTGGCCTCCACATGTGCACACACACGCACACATGCACTACACACGCATGAAATATCTGAATCTGTCCTGAGGTATTGAGCAAACATTATCTATAGTGAGCATCATTAGCTCTCAGTCCTGACCATTTTGTTAGAAACAGCTGCTGAATGTTCTGCATCCTCTACCACTGAGCAGTTCAGTAGCTTGGCAGTTTCTAAGTTCTTTTATGTTAGCCCAGGGTCCTCACTTAACTTTTTCTGCATAAGAAGTGCCCTCAACCACTAAGGCCAGATTCTCATGTTTCTAGAAATTAGATTCTGATGCAGACTTGATAACATTTCTCCATGAATCCAGCCTAAACTTTTGAGGCATGACAATACTAAGATGCAAAGCTTAGGATGGAGTGACGTTGGGTCAACAGCCAGCATGACTGAGCTCCACTTGCCGTGGAGCTGCTCTCCGTGCTTCCTGCACTGTCAAGTGAAAGCAGATAGATTCCTTTCCTGTGCTATTTTCCAAAGTTCAACAGTGTGTTTCAGATCTCAAAGCAAGTCAAAGGAAATGTTCATATTTTTATTTTATATGTATGACTGTTTTGCCTTCACAGATGTAAGTGCACCTTGTATGTGCAATGCCCAAAGAGGCCAGAAGAGGGCATTGAGTCCCCTGGAACTGAAGTTACAGACAGCCACCAGGAACTGAACCTGGGTCCTTAACAAGAGCGGCCAGTGCTCTTAACCACTGAGCCACCCCTTTAGCCCCGAAATGTTCATATTTCAAAGTTCCCTTAACTATGCAATGAAGTTCTCCATCTTCAACTGGAAGTGATTGATCTAAAAGGCAAACATCAGAAGACGCTGACAGCATTCCATAAGTGCTTCCCAAGAAATGAATACAGTCAGTTAAAATCATTGATGTATACATTTTGGCATCACCTGGCAGTATTGATCTGAATGAAAAGATATCTTTAGATGAATTACACAACATCTCATTACAGAACAGCATGAGCAGATGAATACTTGCAAAAGTGTCTAGGACATACTAACTTGACATCTAAACAAAGCAAGATGTTTTCCTTCCTGCAAAAGAATTCTTTCCTTCTTATTAGTGGCCTAGTATTTAAAACTATGCTCCATCCATGACGACGATGATGATGATGATGATGACTGAATTTTTGTCAATGAAGACTTTATGGAAATTTTGTTTTCCTTCTTACTACATAAATACCAACATGTCATTGATTTTGCCTCTTGGCCCACAATGCCTATAATATTTACTGTTTGTTCTTATATAGAAAAATTTTGCTGGCCTATTGTTAAACACTTTGTAACTTACTTGTAAATCTTTCTGAGGCTTAAACATGTTTTGTCCAGGAAGAAAACAATTGTCTCATTGCAAACTAAATGAGGGCTGGAAATTGTCTTTTCAGCTTGCAGAGTCTCTTCCTAACCAGGAGGCCTCTGGCCAGATGAAAGCAGAGTGTACCACTTTCTTCAGGGAACCCAGGTTTGGGAATTCCAAAGGGGGTGGAGAAGCCTGGATTTATCCAAACTCCACTCCCTCAATCTTCTGTTCACATTTCACCCATATTCCAGAGCTATGTCCTTTTTAATATTTTATTTATTATTTTTTATTGTATGTGTATGAATGTATTGCCTGCATGTGTATAAGTGCACCCAGTCATGTAATGCCCATGGAGGTCAGAAGAGGGTGTTGGATCCCCTGGAACTGGAGCTGCTGATTGCATATTGGTGCTGGGAATCAAACCCCGGTCCTCTGAGAGAGCAGCCAATGCTCTTAAACAGCTGAGCCACCTCTCCAGCCCCTAGGTGGCTATGTCTTCATTAGCTCTTGAAATTTTTGGCTCTGAAGAGAGCAAAATGGTTTCCCATGAACTTGTCAATGCCTTTGAACTTGAACCACTTAGCTCCCCATATATTTTCTGTCTCTTGGACCACAGTGTTCCAAATATTAAAACAATTTCAGATAAAATTTTGGTTCCTTTCAGGGTTCCATCTGATCTGTGGCCACAGCATCTCAGCCTATTCCCCTCACAGGAACCTCACATGTACTCTTCCACATAAAAGGAAAGAGACAGAGGTTCCCTCGGGCTACACTAACATTGGTTACATGAAGCCACTAAGGCTTGTAAGATGTACTGCTAGTGTCAAACAACAATCAGCCAGACCCCATTTCACCCTCGCTGCCCCACCCCCCATCCTCGGGTTCTGCATCTACCGCTCCAACTTCAGGTGTAAAATATCCAAAACCTGTCTGCACCAGTACTGAACATGCAGACTTTTTCTTGTCATCATTCCCTAAACAATACACTATGACAACTAACTACATAGCATGTGCATTGTGGTGTTATATGTCATCTAGAGATGATTTAGGGTACACAGGAGGATGTGTAAAGGATCTATGTGAATGCTACACTATTTCCTACAAGGGATTGGAGCACCATGGATTTAGGTACTCCCCCTGCCGGGGGGAGGGAGGGGGAAGTTGCAGTCCTGGAACCAAAGTTCTGTGGATACCGTGCTGGATAGCTGCAGCTGGGTAGAGGGACCATCAATTAAGGAATTTCCTCCATTGGATTAGCCTGTGGCCATATCTATGGAGCATTTTCTTGAATGTTGAGTGATGTGGGCGGCCCCAGCCCATTGTGAATGGTACCTGCCCTGAGCAGAAAGCAGACCAAGAGGAGCAAGCGAGGGGAGCAAGCCAGTTAGCAGCATTCCTCCATAGTCTGTGCTTCGGCTCCTGTCTCCAAGTTCCTGCCCTGAGTTCCCTCAGTAACGAACTGTCACCTGGGAGATGTAAGGTAAAATGAACCCTTTCCTCTCCATTGGTCAGTGTTTTTCATACAGCAATAGAAAGAAAACTAGGACAGATACTAAGAGATTGTATACCTTAGATTTTGAAGATGTGTGTAGTGCGCGTGTGTGCATGTTAAGTATGTGTGTGCAAGCGCACATGCCCCCGTGTGCACATGTGGAGGCCAGAGTCAACATTAGGTGTCTCCCCTATTGCTCTCCTCATTTTTAAAAAAAATATTTTATTTATTATTTTTAGAGTATGTGTGTATTGCCTGCATGTAGGTAAGTGCACCCGTGTCATTCAGTGCCCGTGGAGGACAGAAGAGGCTGTCGGAGCCCCTGGAACTGAGTTACAGACCATTGTTAGCTGCCATGTGGGTACTGGGATTTGAACCTGGGTCTATCTGCAAGAACAGTCAGTGTTCCTAACTGTTGAGCCATCTCTCCAGCCCCTCTCCTCCTCATTTTTTGAGACAGAGTCTCTCAGCAAACCTGGAGCTCATCCTTTCAGCTCGACCAGCTGGCCAGCAGCCCTCAGGATCCACTTGTGTCCAGCCTCCGGGCACAGGGTTACTGGCATGTTCCTTCATGCCCAACTTTTCACATGGGTGCTGGAGGTCCAAACTCAGGTCCTTTCCCCACCGAGCCATTTCCCCAGTTCCAAATAGTTATTTTTTTAATATATAATAAATCGGATGATAACATGCTGAAATACATTGGCATTGAAAGTTAGATAAAACATTATAAAACTGATTTCACCTGATTCTCGTTATCGTTCTGAAAGTGACTACTAGAAAACAAGGTGGCACACGTGGCTTGCATTGTAGTTCCACTAGGCACAGCTGCCCTAGAGCCCCTGCTTCTCTCAGCAGCAGTAAACTGTCATGAAGCCCAGGCTACAGCTGGGACAAGGGGCACTGGGAGATTAAAGGATCTGCGTTAAGTCTCCAGCTTACCTGCCACCAGGCTGGGACTTGGGTTCCATCTTAAGTTCAAAATGCAGCTCTGTCCTGCTAGACCCTACTTCTCCACATCCCTGAGCTTACTTAGCCTGAAGACTGGCCACACATGCTCCGGACCCTAACTCCTGGTAAGGAAGGTGAGCTGAAGCCGGCTCATGTGGCCTCTCATGGTTAAATATTCAGTGACTCTGCCAACCAGTTTTTTAACGGTGAGCTTGAAATGGACCACAGTGGGAATATTTGCACCACAGAAATCTGCATATTCTATACCTCAGAGACTTTGAGGGAATGGCAAAAGTTCACCAGCTCACCACTGGATCACTTGGACTATGGGCAAAAGTTCACCAGCTCACCACTGGATCACTTGGACTATGGGCCCAAGAGCCAGAGCAGTAGTTGGTTTGGAGAAACTGTGTGCATTGACTCATGGGAGTCCAGAGTCATCCTCCATATGTCACAGGAGAAGGATCCGAGGCTGAGAAAGTCTAGGATCATACAGCCAGACACAAAGTTTTGCTAGACCCCCAAGCCTCCTGTTTCCTGCCTCTGGGCTCTGTCCTCTGCAGAGTGAGTGTCCACAGGGGCACAGAGCAGGCATTCATGTTTCCATGGTGATACCCCCTGGACTGGGTGTGTTCCCAGAGACCTCACCTTGGCCAAATGATCAGCCAACTTGTCCCTGGCATCCTTGGTCTCCTTCAGCCCGTTCTCGAAAGCCGTGTCTACCACGTCGCACTGCCTACGCAGGTCGTTGGCTGTCTGTGACAGAATGCAATCTACCAGGGTCTTCAGTGCCATTGAGTTGTTCCGCTGTTTGTCTGCCTTCTCCACGTTGGTGTTAGAAAAGTCTAGCCAGTCCTCCAGACTCACGGAACTGAAACACAAGCCATCTACTAATTTACCACAGCGTATCAGGGCTGGAGCAGGGGTGAGGGCAGGGGCACAGCTGAGAATCTACTGGAAGCTAAGCCTGCCTCCACCCCAACAAGTACCTATAATGTTTTCCTGTCACTGGGCAGAGCCAAAAGAGTTTGGTCAATGGCAATATCTTTGGAAACCTCTGGTGTTTCTGCCTGACACTGTGCTGGCACCTTAAAGACATCACCTCATTTTATCCTCACAAGGCCACCTAAGCTACTTTTTAAAAATTTTTTATTATTTTTATTTTATGTGTATGAGTGTATTGCCTGCATGTGTGCAAGTGCATCTATGTCATTCAATGTCCATGGAGGTCAGAAGAGAGTGTTGGATTCCCCTGGAACTGGAGTTACAGATGGTGGTTAGCCACCAAATAGGTGCTGGGATTCAAACCCAAGTCCTCTTCAAGAGCGGCTAGTGGTCTTAACCTCTGAGTCCTCTCTTCAGCCCCCTACTAAGCTATTTTTATAAGCTCCATTTCACACAGCAGAAAACAGGTTCAGAGTTGGGAGTGGTGGCACATATTTTTGATCCCAGCACTCGGGAGGCAGAGGAAGGCAGATCTCTGTGAGATACGAACAAGCTTGGTCTCCATAGTGAGTTCCAGGCCAGCTGGGGCTACAGGGAGACCCTGTCTCAAAAAGAGAGAGAGAGAGAAAAGTCTAGCCTAAATCACACAGCTAGAGACAATAGACATCAACATAAATAACAATAGTAAAGTAACAGATTATAACACACTAACAGAGGAAGCCACTAGAATTCCATGCAACACAAAGACATGCATGAACAGATCGCTATTTTGATGAGGAACTACTAACAGCCTCAGTGAATCTCAAAAAAATTGTTATTTGAAAGAAACCAGACACATGCAACACAGGGTATATGATGTTATTTAATAAAAAGTGGGCACGAGGCCAGAGAGATGGCTCAGAGGTTAAGAGCACTGGCTGCTCTTACAGAGGACCTGGGTTCAATTCCCAGCACCCACATGGCAGCTAACAACCATTTATAACTCCAATTCCAGGGTATCTGATGCCCTCTTCTGGTCTCCATGGTCATTGCACACACATGGTGCACTTAAATACATGCAGGTAAATACTCACACACATAAAATAAAAATAAATAAATAAATGAAAAGCAGGCAAACAACACTATTAGAAAAAGTCAAGAGAGGTCTACCTTTGGGGAGAAGAAAAAAGGATTGATCACAAGAGAACAGAAAAAAGATGAGGCAGATCTCGAGTTCAAAGCCAACCTGGGTTATGTAGAAAGACTCTAAGAAAAAAAGAAGAAGGAGGAGGAGGAGGAATCTACAGGAGAGAAGGAGTTGAGATAAAAACAAAGACACAGAGACTGAGAAGAAGAAGAAAAAAACAAGGGCTGGAGAGACAGCTCAGTGGTTAAGAGCACTGGATGCTCCTGCAGAGGACCTGAGTTCAGTTCCCAGCACCCACATGGTGGCTAACAACCATCCATAACTCTAGTTCCAGGGGATCCAATACCCTCTTCTAGCATCCACGGACATTGCACACACGGTACACTCACATGCATGCAGACAAAACACTCATACATATAAAAAATACATTTCAAAACAAGGAGGGTCAGGGAGGGTTTCTGTGGTGGTGGGGGGGTGGATCTTTCACTCCTGCCTGGTGACTGCCTGAGAACTGCCTGCTTTGTGATGAAAGGCAGCCTCTGAGCTAGTCTTCAGTGATCCTGTCTCCTTGGGGATGGGATGACTTTGCCAACTTGATTCTCATGAGTAGAAAGATGAGATGCCAATTTTGAGATTCAGGTATGAAAACCACCATGGCTTCTGTCTTACGTTCCCCCCCTCTTCCTCCACCCTTGTCTCTTTCATGATAGGATGGGAGAAGCCGGCTGCCATGTTGTGATACAGCCCCTTAGAGAAGCTCACACATGGCTAGGAACTAAGACCTACAGCACGACACAAGCTACCTTGGAAGTGAACCCCTCCACAGTCAAGCCTTCACGTAGGGCAGAACCAGCCCCAGCCTGACTTCCACCTGAGGAGACCATAAGCCAGGGTACCAGCTAAGTGGTGCCTGGCCTCTCAACCCACCCAAGACCATGCAATAATAAACAATTATTGTGTTAAGAGGCTAAACAAGGGGGGCACTTCAGCTTTCTGTCTAACTAATACAATGATCATCACTGAGCTGTGTGTTTATTATTCATGCACTTTTCTGTATGTATATTTAATTTAAAAAATTAAATTCGAATGAGTTAGTGCTGTGATGGAATACTAGTTGAAAATGCAAGTTAGGGGCCCAGTGAGATGACTCAGGAGATAAATTTCCTTGCCACCAAGCCTAATGACCTGAGTTCAATCCCTAGTACCCACATGGTCGAGAGAACCAACTACCACAAGTTGCCCTCTGACCTCCACATGCACATGAGCATACATACATAAATAAATGTTAAAAAAAAAAACCCACTATTTTAAAATGCAAGTTAGATGTTACACAAAAGGTACATATTTTTGCAAACCAAACTAAACGGATTTGATTGTTAGATGTACATATGTTTATATGAACCTGCAGGGAACTGGTTATCTCAAGGTGAGACTGCAAAAGGACAATTGTGGGAAATTATTAATTAACCCTTCATAATAGTTTTAGACTCTTTCACTTTTTTTTTTTTTTTGGTCATTTTGAGACAGGGTCTCCCTATAGCCCCAGCTGTCCTGGAACTCACTATGTAGACCAGGCTGGCCTTGAACTCACAGACATCCACCTGTCTCTGCCTCCCGAGTGCTGGGATTAAAGGCATGCGCCACCACACCCGGCAGAGTCTTTCAGTTTTTAAAATATAAATAAATAAATACACTGTAACTCCTTGGACATAGTGTATCAATCTTTCTTAAAGTGAGAGGAGGTCCTGGGCAGAGGCAGGGAGAGCCACTCAGGGTCTGCCTTGACCAAAGCCTCCTGGCTGTGGGTGACTGCAGGATGTCCCCCTGATCCTGTCAGACTGAGGGGACCCAGAGCATTCCCAGCACCACCTATGCCACTCTCAGGGCCCCACTCACTTGGGTTCAATTCTCATGGCGTTCTCAGAATATTTTATATTTGGTGAGTTATTGTTGAGTGAGAAGCAGATGTCATCAATGGTCAAGGCCATAAACTTGTCCTTCAAATCCTTTTCCAGACTGTATTTGGCAGAGCGGTTTAGCCTGAAGGAAGAGGCAAACTGGGTTTCTTCCACAGGAAAAGCTGGGTGGCACCTACAGGATCACAGGAGGCCCTGGAAAATGACACTGAAACTAGGTCCTTTTAGGGTGACCACACCTCCACCCTACTTCCCCATCCCCCCAGTGCACACATGTGCCACTTGATGCTTGGTTACAAAACGGCATGGCCAAGCCTAGGCTTTAAGATCCCCCTTTTCAAACTGTATTGAGGGGTCAGCCTGGAAGCAATGAGCAATGTTTGTCACCCCTTATGAAATCTGGCCAGACCCCGCCTACCACTAGATGGAGGTAGCAGGTGTCGCCTTAGGGCTACCTGCTGACACAGACTGTGGGAGTGTTAGACCTAGTTCCTCTGAACATGGAGCCCTGTGTTGGAGTGAAAGCCTCTCCCCGTACTCAGGTGGGGTCCAAGGTACCTGATCTGCTCAGATACCTCCTCCATGGTGCGTGTCAGCAGGGCCATGACGCCTCGGATGATCTCAGCCTCCTTCAGCAGCTCCTGCTCCACCTGGTCATGCACCAGGTCGATGCCCACACGCTTATCCCTGGTGGGGAGAGGTAGGGGTGTGGGGTAGTACTTCGTGTCTGTGCCACTTCAAAACACCCAAAACACAAATAGAAACCATTGATGGGAGGCTTGAAAAACTGCCAAATAAACTTCCTCCATGCTTCCTCAGCTGGTTGGTTGGTTGGTTGGTTGGTTGGTTGGTTGTTTGGTTGGTTTGGCTTGTTTTGAGACAGTGTCTTGCTATGTATCCCAGGCTGGCCTGCAGCTCCCAATCCTCCTGCCTCAGCCTCAAGTGCTGGGACTTCAGGCCTCCGTCAGCTTGCCACTCCTTCCTCCTTAATCTGTCCATCTGCTCTGAAACCTATCCTTTCTTACCTATTCACTGGAAACACTGTCTTTTGACTCAGAGTTTGAAAGGCAGGTATTTCTTGCCTTGATCCTAATCTTGAATCCGGAAAAAAAGGTTTTATTAAGATATTAATAACTAGAAGCTACAGAGATGATTCAGTGGTTAAGAGCACTGGCTGCTCTTTCAGAGGACTCATGTTTGGTTCCCAGCATCCACATGGCAGCTGAAAACCATCTGTAACTCCAGTTCTGAAGGATTCAACGCCCTCTTCTGGCCTGCACAAGCATTGCATGCACATGGTGCACCTACATATAGGCAAAACTTACACACATAAAATGTTTTTAATAAAAATGTTATTAAAAATACTGATATTGGGCTGGAGAAATGCTTCAGTGGTTAAGAGCACTGACTGCTCTTGCAGAGGACCCAGGTTCGATTCCCAGCATCCACATGGCAGCTACAAACCGTCCTTAACTCCAGTACCTGGAGAATCTGAAGCCCTCGTCTGACCTCCACAGCATTGCACAACATGGATGCACTCACATACATGCAGGCAATACACTCATACACATAAAATAAAAATAATAAACAGCCGGGTGTGGTGGTGCACGCCTTTAATCCTAGCACTTGGGAGGCAGAGGCAGGCAGATCTTTGTGAGGTTAAGACCAGCACGGTCTATGTTGGGGGTTCCAGGACAGCTGGGGCTACAGGGAGACCCTGTCTCAATAAAGACAAAAAATTTAAAAATTAATTAATTAATTAATTGAATTAAATTTTAAAAATATTGATATTAAGATTACTCCCACCAGTGAACACTCACTATATGATAGGTACTGTGTTGAGATTTTTATACACTTAACCTTTTTTTTTCCTAGTGCTTTGAATGGAACCCAGAATCTGAAGCACACTAGCCAAATGCTCTACGGCTGAGCTATATCACTAGCTCTTCCACTTAATCTTTGAAAATACAGATGAGGCAACTGAGTCTCTACGCATTTAAGTAGTTTACCCAGTGCCACAGGCTGGGCACTACATATGCCGCTAACCACTAGCTGTACCACTCCCCAAACTCATCCTGCTCCCAGATACTGTTTTTGTTATTGTTGTTTTGTTTGTTTGTTCTGAGATAGGGTCTCACTATGGCCCCAGTTAGCCTGGAATTCACTATGTAGACCAAGGTGGCCTCTATCTCACAGAAATCTACCTGCCTCTGCCTCCTGAATGCTGGGATTACAAGCATGTGCCACCACACCAGGCCAGATACTTTTTTTTTCTCTATTTCACTTGATAATACATGGGCTGGAGCTGGGGGTAGGGAGAGAAGGGCCTCCCCTGGCCACTTGCTGTGTGACCTGAGGTATATTATGTAACATCTTTGTCTTGATCGCCTCTTCTGTTAATTGGGGATAACTTCTGGTACTTCCTAGGATGTGCCAAGGACCCAAGGTGATAGAAAGCAGACCCTCCAGCAGTAGCACATAGCATATGCTCATCATGTCTGCATTATAATTAGGCTCAGGCTTAGGCTGAGCACTCCAGGTTGCAGCTGCCACTTCCCTTGTCTTTACACGCTCTCTGAATCTAGCTGGGGGTCACCACTTGCTTGCTGTACTGAGTTGGGGCTAAGATGAGGGCAGACACGATGCAACACATGACTCAGCACTTCCAAGTTCACCCCCTCATAGGTCTGGAAATCAGCATCACCTCAGAAGAAAGAAAATACTCCTGGATTTACAGAGGGAAACAATGAGCACAGGGCTGTCCATCTCTCTTCATCACAGGGAGCTCTGTGTGTCACAGAAGGCTTGTGTCTCCCAATAGCTACAGTAGTGCCTTTTTCACCTTCTTCTACGGAAATAAACCCTGATACTTTAGCTGAGCACCGGGCTGCACAGCCCAAATAAAGACAACCATTTCCCAATTCCTACTTGTGTGGCTGTAAGATTATGTTCTGCTCAGTGGGATGCAGATACAAGGAGCTGGTGAATACCAAACTCATTATTCCTATTTGCTGGGAATGTAGACAGAATGTGGGGGTCTTAGGGTTCCATCTCAAATCATGAGGTAGCATAGGGATCAAAACTCACATACAGTGGGGCAAAAAATAGGAGAAGCCTGGCACCTAGAGGTGTGGTACACCATGCCAAGAGAAACTAGTCATCTCTAGACTCCTCAAATGTGACAGAAAAATAAACTTTTAAACTTAATGTTATTCAGTAATCTTTGGGTATGGTCAAACCTAGTCCGAACTTATGTCAAGTTAGAAGACAACAGAGATTAGGTGTCAACCACCGCCGACACCATGGGCATCCTGGGGTCATCCCAGTTCTGAAAGAACACCTGCTCCTTTGCCTACTTAACTTAACCCACAGTCTTGCACAAACAGCTTTTGCTGTTTAGCATCGTGTTTCTTACAGCAGATGATGTACCTGTAGGCCAGGCACCTCTCAGAGATGCACAGTGGCTCTTTAAAGCTCTCCAGGGCCTTTTCCAGGTGGGTTTTGTACATGAGTAGGCCATCCGTTTCATGCATGAGCTGTTCAAGTTTGTCATCTAACTCCTTCTTCCAGAACCTGACTTCCTCGAGTCTCTGTTCTGAAGCACAAAGAGAAGTTACACAGGGTTAATTTGCTCCAGAAGGAGTCAACCTTGTGTCTGAGTGTTATACTAAGGATGGAACCCAGACCTCTTACTTAAGCAAGTATTCCACCCCTGAGCCACACTCCAGCCCCAGACAACTTTTAAATTAAAACATTGAAGACGTTCGTAACACTACCTGACATAAGCTCTTTTCTTCTTAGAGCTGTGCTTCTTGTGACATCTTTATAAATGTTGATCTAGTGGGGACTTGTTGGAACTCAGTTGGTACAGTGCCTGCCTAACATGCATGAGGCCATATTCATCCCCAGCACTGCATAAAGTGGATGTGGTAACACAAGGCTGTGATTTAGGAAGTTGGGAGATAGAGTAGGAGGATCAGAAATTCAAGGTCATCCTTGTACAAACCAGTCTGGGCTACAGGAGACCCCACCTCAAAATAAATAAAAATAAACGTTATTAGCTAAATGGAAGATATTTCTTCTTGCATTCACCAAAATATTTATTACTCTAAACTTTAATTCCCCAATTTCCCTTTGCTTTTACACTTATTTATTTACTTTTTTATTTATTTAGGATAAGGTCTTACTATGTAGCCCAGGCTGGCCTTAATTTGTGTTCCTCTTGCCACAGCTTATGAGTACTGGGATTACAGGTGTGTATCACCACCCCTGGATAATAACTTTTTAATTTTCTTAAAGGTCTATTTTTACATTTTAATTATTGGGGTATATGTACATGACTGCAGACAGAGGTGTCAGATACCCCTGGAGCTGGACTCACAGGCAGTTGTGAGCTGCCTACTTGGATACTGGGAACTGAACTTGAGTTCTCTAGATGAGGAGTATGCAGCCTTAAATGCTGAACTATCTTTTCAATTCCATAGCTTTTAAATTTTATCAAAGACATAAATGTATATTGTTTGGAAAATCAAATAGCATTAAAGTCTACGGGTTCTCTAACTCCACCTACCTATGCCCATGTTTAAGAGCAGGACTTTCAACACTTCCGGTATTTCTCCTGGCATTTGTGCATGTCACTATTCAACACCAGTTTAATGCTTTGTGTTGATTTTTCATGATGAAAGAATGATTTGTGCTTTTCAGTGCTGGACTTTGAACCCAGAGCCTTGAGCATGCTAGGGAAGCTCTGTACCACTGAGCTATATCCCAAGCACCCCTGTTTACTTTGAATCAACTTTTCTGATCCTTCCATCTTGTATTATATTTATATAAACATTATGTCAAATAATAACTATTGTCTACTTAAATTTTTTGACTATATATCTTCATTTACACTTGAGTCCTGGGCTATACAATGATAAATTTCTTATGGAACTTTCTGTTTTTGAAATTATTATTATTGCATTTTTGTTTCCTTTTCTTTTTATGATAAGCAATTTGTTTGTTCACTTGAGATAGGATCTCACTCTGCAATTCGGGCTGGCCTTAAACTTTCAATCCTCCTGCCTCCAGCCTCCCAAGTGCTGGGATTACAAGTAGATACCACCACACTCAACTAAAAGCAAATTTATTGAGCATAGACAGCTGATTATAAAAGCAAAACCATGTACTATATAATGAATTCAGAAAGAGCAGCTCAGCATTTGGACCTTAAATTCATAAGGTAACTGATTTTATAGCTGCCAGTTTCTTCTCCCGTAAAATAACTTACATGTGTGTTGTATTGTGTGTATATACACGTGGTACATTTGCATGTGTCGGGGAGTACGCATATTGTGCACATGGAGAAGGACATACATGTCCTGTTCTATCTCTCTATCTTATTCCTTTGAGACAGGGTCTCTTACTGATCCTGGTGGCCAGCAAGCCCCAGCAATCCTGTCTCCATTCCCCCGCAACCCTGGAGTTAAACATAGCACCTGGCTTTTTACATGGCTTCTTGGCATCTGGACTAAGATCCTCATGCTTGCACAGCAAGTGTTCTTACCACTGAACCATCTCCCCAGCTCAAATAACTTATTTCTCAGAGAAGATTAAATTATGCATATTTGAGGTTTACTATATGATGTTATAGGAAAGATAGACATTGTAAAATTGTTACTATAGTAACCACTTCAGGGGCTGGAGAGATGACACAACAGTTAAAAGCACTTGCTGCTCTTCCAGAGGACCTGAGTTCAGTTCCCAGCAGCCGTGTCAGGCAGCTCCAATTGCCGTAATTCCAGTTCCAGGGAATCCAGTGCCCTCTTCTGACCTCCACTGACATGGATTCTAGGAATGGAACTTGGGTTGCCAGGCTTACACAGCAAGCACCTTTACCAGCTGAGCCATCTTGCAGGCACCTTGATGTCTTTTAATGCTGTTATAAATGAGAGTAGCACATATGAACCCACAGCACTTATGACAGCATGTATAAGACTGGTGCAGGCGCTGGAGGGATGGCTCAGCGGTGAAGAGCACTGACTGCTCTTCCAGAGGACCCAGGTTCAGTTCCCAGGACATGGCAGCTAACAAACTCCCTAACTCCAGTTCCAGGGGCTCTGACGCCTTCTCCTGCCCTCTGAAGGCACTGCACAACGTGGGTGTACTTACATACACTCAGGCAATAACATTCATACACATAAAAATAATAAATGAAATATTTAAAAATATAAAAGAGTCGGGGCTGGAAAGATGACTCAGTAGTTAAGAACACTGGTTGTTCTTGCAGAAGACCCGGGTTCGAATCCCAGCACCCACATGGAAGCTAACAACTGTCTATAATTCCAGTCCCAGGGGGTCCGACAGCCTCTTCTGACCTCCCAGGCATTGCATGACATGGGTGCACTTACCTACATGCAGACAATACACACATACACATAAAATAAAAATAAATAAATAAAAAATATAAAAGAGAGAAATAATAATGGACATGAAGTTGGAGAGTTAGCAAGGCAGGAGGGAGAGGTTGGGGGGCAGTGGTGGGAGGGAGTCTGAATAGGATCAAAATACATTGTATGAAATTCTCAAATCAATAAAAATATTTTAAAATAATCTTAATTTTAATTTTAATTAATTTTAATTTGCTCAATGAAGCAATGACATTAAGGTTTGAACATCAGTCCTCATCACTCCCTCCTGTCTTACATTAATCCTCCTGTTACCTCCTTGCTCATTAAAGACATCCAAGTTCATGGGCTCTAGCTTATAAAATTCTAATGTTTGCTTGATGGCTATCTATTCTACTTTACATTTATTTTTTATTTTACTTATTTAAGAGCATCATTCCTTAAATACTGTTTTTAAGCATGGAATTGTTAAGATAAAACTGTTCTTCCAGGCCTGGAGAGATGGCTCAGCAGTTAAAAGCACTGATTGTTCTTGCAGAGCACCCAGGTTCGATTCCCAGCACCCACATGGCAGCTACGAACTGTCCTCAATTCCAGTTCCAGGGGAACCTGAAGCCCTCCTCTGACCTCCGCCCGGTGTTGCACGACACGGGTACACTCACATACATGCAGGCATACACTCATAAACATAAAATAAAAATAATAAAATGGTTTTTTTTTAACTGCTCTTCCTTTAACACTCATCTCAAATGTTTATCTCCAGGAACTTTCCCACTTCTCCAGTGCCTGTCCCACTCCTAACTTAATTCTCTTCACCCAGCACCTATATGGTTATATTCTAATTAATGAATGTTGTAACTTTCTCCTTTTCAAGGTGGGAACCCATAAAAAGCACAGAGTCTGCTCATTCATGCAGTGGTCACAGTGTGTGGTCCATACAAGCTTCCAATGAATGTGGATCAAATTGGTGACTGAGCAATGGAGGGCTGAAAATCAGACTGGGTTACTGTGTCTGTCTCATGGCACTAATCTCAAACACAGAACCTGTAGCATGAACATGCCCCCACTCCTGCCCCCGCTCCAATTCTTTAAGAATGACACATGGCCACACTGCACACATTAAGCCTCCTCAGTACATAGTCACAAACATACCAAGCATGTTGTCTTACCAAGTTTCTTGTTCACATCACTTTGAGATTTCCGGGTGGTCTTTTCGATTTCATCCACAAGCCTCTGGCTCTCTGCCACCAAGCGTTCAGATCGGGACCTTTGGGCCTCCGCCCTGTGGTACTGGCTCTTGTTAGCAACATACCACTCTGCGGGCAGGAACTTGGGTGGAGGTTGCAGTAGTCTGGCCATTTGAGATTTCCAAAGTCCTGATCAAATGCAGAGCTTTTTGGCATTAAATAAAACCGACGGATTCTGTCTGTCACCACCACCACCACCACCATCATTATCATCATCAAAATGTGACATTCATACTGAAAAGTGCACAGATCATAATCTTAACCAAGCATATTTGTGAGCCAGTACCCAGATCAAGAAACCAGTGTCACCAACATCTCAAACCTATCTCCAGTCCCCAGTCACCACTCCCACCCCCACAGGGTGACCACTAACCTAATCTTTTTGCTTTGCTTTGTTTTGTTTTGTTTTGCCTTGGTTTGGTTGTTTTTTGTTTTCTTTTGTTTTGTTTTGAGACTACTCCCTGTAGTCCCAGGTGGCCTGGAACTCCCTACATAGACCAAGCTGGCCTCGATTTCACAGAGATCTGCCTGCCTCTGCCTCCCAAGTGCTGGGGTTAAAGGTGTAGGCCACTGTGCCCAGCTCACTAACCTGATCTTTAATGCTACAAATTAATTAGTTTGTTTGGTTTTGAACTTAATATAAATGAAATCCTCCACTGTATTCTTTGGCATCTGATACCTTTTCTTCAACATTATGTTCATAAGAGCCATCTGCAGTGTTTAAAAGTTTTAGGGTGTTCAGTCTCATTGCTGTGCGGTGTGCCATGTGTATATCAAAACCTTCTATTGCTTCAGATACATGGGCTGATCACCCTTTAGGACTGTCACAAGAATGTTATGAATATTCTTCACATCTTTTGGGGAACACAGAATTTTATGGCTTATGGGATCATACAATAACATTCTGCCAAACACATGAACCCAGAGGTGTTCTCTAAAGAATAAATAGATGTAACATCTGAGGTTTGAGCCTGTTCAGCTGATAAAAGTATATAAAACTTCCTCAGGACAAAGAAAAAGAATATCAAAAAGGGGAGCCCAGGAGAAGGGAGCTGGGGAGGCCCACAGCCACACAGCAAAATGTGGCCTCCAGCTCTGAAGGACGGTGACAACTGTCTTCCACAAAGATGAGGTCTGAAGGGCTCCCCCTCAGCCCCCTGCAGCCCTAGCACCTGTCCCTGGAGCATCTGAAGCCTTCATACCCAAGGATGGGGTCAGACCTTGACCAGGCTGAGCACCTCGGTCCACGAAGCTCCCTCAGACACTCCAGATCTCCTCGTTTCTTCCCAGCCCAGTGTCTCCTACGACCCGTCCCAAGTCTATCTGAGTGTGGGACCCTGCGATGTAGCCCAAGTCTCCAGGAAAAGTGTGAGTAGCCCTTAAAGGCGACCTAAGTCAAGGCTGATCCCAGAGAGCATGACTGAGGGTAGGATAAGGGGTCAGTGGAAGTGGATTCGGGTTCACTTACCTCAGTGACTCAAAGGACACAAACTGGGGTCGGGGCCTCCTTACCCCAACTGGAGCTCCAGGCTCTGGAAGAACTAGGAGGGAAACTGCGGTCTCTATAGCAACCGGGATCTGACGCGTCGCCTGGGCAACGGGGGCGGGTTCTTCCGCAAAAAAACACCACACACACGTACACACTCACACTCCCAGGCAGGAAAATTGCTGCGGCACAAATGTGGGTGCGGGCCAAGGGAGACCCAGGGATATGCTTGGAGCTCTGAGGGTGGATGCTGGGCGGTCTGATCCTGAGTGGCCGGGGTCCCGATCCCTGAGTCTGGGACTCTCAGGTGCACAGCACAGTCACCACACACACACACACACACACACACACACACACACACACACACACACACGTATACGCGTGTTTCTGGTGTATGGGCAATAATGGATTTTGAAGCAGATATCCTCCTTCATGGTGTAAAATTCTCTAAAGGAATGAACTTTTCCCCAACATAAAAATAGTAAAGTTGTTTCTCATGTCAAAGTGCCATTGAAAAGTTTGTAGATACTCTTCTGGAACTCAGCCACTCTGTGCCTTCTTGATTATTTTTTTTTTTTTTGGTCCTTTTGAGACAGGGTCTCCCTGTAGAAACGTCTTGATTTTTAACATGGCCATGCATGCTCATTTTGCAAGTAACACGTGTATTTTGAAAGACTTTGCACCACTATGAGAAATGGAAAAACAAAGCCATTTATATGATGGAAAGTAATCATGAAAGTGAGTCCTGTGACATAAAGAGACATAAAATTCAGAGCTGATTAAAGACAATGAGATAAAAACAGTGAAGAGCTGGGGGTGGTGGCTCTGAAACCCCACAACTGAAATCAGCACACCCCTTTTACATATGTATAGATTTATCCCAGTGGGATGTCCTAATTCAAATAACGGGGGCGGGGGGGGGGACCCTGGTTGCTAGGGGAGATGTTTGTATGAATGCTTTTAAAAGTCTAGAGGAAAATTATTTGAAATCTGAATTAGTTGACCTGTTAAAACATCTTGTATATGAGAACAAGTGAAGCTTTTGGATGTGCTGGTACTCAACACTCTGGGAAGAAAATGATTAAGGCAAAGGTAAAAATTCCAGAAGGTCATCGGATATAGGAACGGCAGAACCAACTCAGATGTGTGATAAGATAAGAAGCCTCTGTGTGATAGCTCTGGAACTGGCCAGCGTAAATGCCTGTGTTTTGGGTGTATTTACTGGACTGAACTTGCATCGTTATTTGACAGTAATTTTACATTATCCCTACTGACTGAAAACAAAAGCTCAGTAAACTGATTACCAGGGACGCTGGCCTCTGTCTCACATTTGCTGCTTCTGAAGTTGTACCGTTTTCTCTTGTGCTTGATTCGGTCTTTTGTTATCCTTTTCTTCACAGTTGTAGGAGCCAGAGGCTATGCCGTGTGTGCGTGCGTGTGTGTGTGTGTGTGTGTGTGTGTGTGTGTACCACAGAGCCAGGGCTGTAGTAGGCTTTCCCTTACAGGTTTGTGGATGCACACTCTATGATGTCCACACAATGATGAAATAGCCTAAGAAAACATTTTCTAGAACATATTTCTATATGCTCTGTGTGTGGCTGGTAAAATAGGTACAGTAGAGAAAATAACAGAATTTATTGTGGGAGAGAGAGCATTGACAAATTAACACGAGTAAAGCAGAGCAGCATCTAAGATGTAACACAGTCCCCAAAATTACTATTACCTACAATTAAGTGTTTTTAAACATTGGTATTTGCTAAACAGCTTCATTGTACTTCCATTTCATAAATTTGAGTTTCTATAATAAATAACTCAGATTGCCTTCATCCCTTTCACATGCTGAGGTCTTGCACAGAACTTCAATTTTTTAAAGATTTTTTAAAATTATGTGCATATGTGTGGAAGGGATTGTGCAAGTGAGTGCAGAGGCCAGAAGAGGGCATTGGATCCATTGGAGATGGGTTACAGATGGCTGTGAGCCACCTGACCTCAGTGCTGGGAACTGAACTTGGGTCCTGTGGAAGAACAATACACACTCTTGGCTCCAAGCCAACCCTCCATCCCCAGATTTCATTTTTTAAAAAGCAAAACAGGGGGCTGGAGAGATGGCTCAGCAGTTAAGAGCACTGACTGCTCTTGCAGATGGCCCAGATTCGATTCCCAGCACCCACATGGTGGCTGCAAACCATCCCTAACTCCAGTTCCAGGGGAATCCAATGCCTACTTCTGACTTCTGCAGTATTGCACGACACGGGTGCACTCATATATATGCAGGCAATACACTCATACACATAAAATAAAAATATTAAATAAAATGTTTTTTAAAAAATATTTTAGGGCCTGGAGAGATGGTTCTGCAGTTAAGAGTACTGTGTGCCTGTGGCAGCGGTGACATCCAACATGGGACCCATGTCAGCTCAGTTAAACAAGGGCCCAAAGGGGAGATGAACAATAGGTGGTGGGTCAGCACTAGATCCGAGAACTATTTGAGACTGGTTGCTGCTGGGTGAGGGAGAGTATGTCTTACATGCTACCACTGGATGGGCTGACTAGACCCCAGTGGACACATTTACACTGAAGGACATTTGGGTACAAACACCTGAATGAATAGGACTCAGCATGTATGGCAGAGTGCACAGGGTTCGGTGGGGTGGGGGTGGGGGAGGCATGGATGGGGGAGGATCAGCACTAGATCCGAGAATTATTTGAGACTGGTTGCTGCTGGGTGAGGGAGAGTATGTCTTACATGCTACCACTGGATGGGCTGACTAGACCCCAGTGGACACATTTACACTGAAGGACATTTGGGTACAAACACCTGAATGAATAGGACTCAGCATGTATGGCAGAGTGCACAGGGTT